CTCCTAGCTAGAGTCCTAACATCTGGATAGAAAAAACTCTTTTAATTATCATCATAGGCTCTTTGCTCTTGTCTATAAAAGGAAAGGATCGAACATTAGAAATTTAACCTATAGATATATTTTTAATCTCCTTTAGTTCTTATTCCATTATTCATAGTATATTGTGAATGATAAGAAAAGAAGAGAAGACGAGTCTAGTTCTCCTTGTATATCAGATCGGTATTGTTGTAGCTTTTGGATCCGATGACGATGCATTTATAGATCAAATAAAGATTTTCTAGATGATATCGAAAGATACACAATGTTGATCTTAATCTATTATTATTTAATTTCGATTTTGATATTAAAACTTTTTATATGATTATAATATAATTATAATTTTTGCCCTGCTGGACAAGCTGCATCCCTCTTCTATTATTACCCACTTGTCTAGAAATCTAAATTGTAAAGCTCATAATTGTAGAATCTTTGGGCTTTCAGTTTTTTATAGTGTGTACGAGCCTTGAGGTCTTCCAATCCTCTTGTACGTTCTTATTCAATGAAAAAAGGCTTCTTTTTCAGGGGCAAAAAAATAAGTGTTAATGCATGCTTGCTGCCTCATGTGAAAGGTGAATGCGTTACAACGAGCCACACGGATGCTCTGTGCGTCATGCGTGGTTCCCTTTGGTGGACAATGAGAATTTTTCCAAAGGATTGAATCTTCTTTTCCCCAGTAAAATCCTTTTAATGCCAAATGCGGGACCCTCTGGCTCTAACAAAAACATATAAAGAATCTGTATTGATGAGAGAGAGAGAGAGAGACTGGAAATCTGATAACCGTGCATGCAACTAGATTTTGACGACTCTCATGAAATCTGAAAACTTGTACACCTATTTGCAGGTGTACAAGTTCCAAACCAACTTATTCGATGGTAGAGAGTACAAATGGGAAGGACTTACCTCTGAATGGGCGAATGTAAGTGCCTCGTCGCTAACAAACTTCATCGAATTTGTCACTTCACCAAACAATCCCGATGGCCTCTTGCGACAATCAGTTCTCTGTGGCTCTGCAGTCATTCATGACCATGCTTACTATTGGCCTCACTATTCAGCAATCCCAGCCGCAGCTGATGAAGATATTATGCTCTTTACCAATTCTAAGATCTCAGGCCATGCTAGTAGTAGGCTCGGGTAAGTCCTTTTTTATTTGAACTGCTATGTGAAATACGAGCAAGATTCATATCTTGGATGATTCATTCATGTTCTCTTAGCGAAAGTCTAGGTGGGCGGTGATAAAGGATGAGAAAATATATGAGAGAGTCACACGATACATGCTCTTGAACACCATGGGAGTTTCCCGGGATACTCAACTAAGAGTCCTGAAGCGATGATAGAAGCGGTGGGCAGAGAAGATGACATATTCGAGTTTGGTTACAGAACAATGAGAGAAAGGTGGAGCAAGTTGATCAGTATCGTCTCCACTTCCAATCGTTTCTCCCTCCAGAAGCTCTCCCCTCAGTTCAGCTCCTACTTCAAAAAGAGTAGGGAGCCGTCTCCAGGTGAATAATTAATGTTAGGATATACGCTGACTAGGATACGTAGTCTATTTGACATCTGACCCTGCAAAGTTTGCAGCTTATGCCTGGCTGAAGTGCAAGAGGGAGGAAGAAAAAGACTGTTCTGCTCTGCTCAACGGAGCGGGCATCATTTCACGTTCCGGCACAATATTCGAAGCCGATAGCCGGTACACACGGCTAAGCCTCATTAAGACGAGGGATGACATTGATTTGCTTGTTGAAGCGCTTGGAAGCTCTTATTTCTGGTGTGACTTCCTGAAGCACTGGGTTTATTTCTCGTAGGATTTGGCGATCGACAATGTGTCCGAACACCAAGAAAGATTTGTAATCACGTGACGTCGTGAAGCAAGGCAAAAATTTGCGGTGGCAAAACGTGTACCGAGCGACGTTTCCTTTTTGTGTACACGACAACTTCAAGGCGCCTGAAACAAACTTTTTTTGTTTTGACTAAAATAACTGCCATGGAACCACGAGTTCCCGGCGCACCACCATCCAGACAGAAATCTCGCAGTAAACCATCACGGAATGAGCCCACGGGAGCGACGCTGAAACCGGTGCTCCTCCAATTCATTGGGAAGTGCTTCAAAAAGGCCTTCCTTCATAACTAAGTCATCAACATTTAGTTTTAGATTTCATCCATATAGCATATGCTTGCCTTGTCCCCATCCTGCCTTCACGAGTGGATCTTTTAGCATAAGTGTGTGCTTGTTTGTACATATGGCTGCAGACTATTGAGTTTAGCCTCGTTTCTAACCTGCCATAATCCATTGGCTATAACAGCTCTAAAGGCCATTGGATCAGACTCCAAATGATCATATTTCCTTACCAAACCAACTTTTATTCGCTCCCGTCTCTGTTAGAACCGGATGTTTCGGTTAAAGCTGAACCAGATTCCAGAATCCTACAGCAAACAAGTAGTTGAAAAAGATATTGACTGAGGGGTCATAATCCTCTCCACATATCCAACGCCAGTGTGCATCCGTAAATACCTAAGACAGCAAGTCTTTCACTCAATGACGATCTTTTTATGTGTTAATTTCCAGTAGAATACTATCATTTTCCAAGTAATCAGCAACTTGCATGAGCTACCCACCATCCCATTGTTTCTTACTGACATCTCCTGTTAAGCTTCCTTTGAATTATCCTTGTTTTCAAATTTTGCACACATTCTTACCTATGCATTTCCCATCTCGGCATCTGAATCCACACCCGTCCTCAGTGTGGAGCATATGGTTTTAGCATGCAAACAACCACTTTGATGCAGCTGAAAAAAACGGTTGGCGAGCTTCAGTGCTTCCTCCATTCTCAATTTAGCTCACCACTAACAACACGTACGAACAAGCATTCCAACTTTCCATGTAGTAAAATAATTTGCAATTGCACTGGTCATACGCCTATATTTGACACAAAGGTTTGCGATTGCAATTCGAACAATAATAATTAATACCTGAGAAATATATAACAAGGTATCTCAGCCCGTGATTACTTCTCTAAACTGAGGGTTCTGAACGAGACCTCACATGATTGCTGTCAATCATGTATTGAATACTTTATTAGCATTCATTATGTTCTCAATTTTTTTACAAATGATAAGTGACGAATAGAGATATTGATCTTAGAACTTAATGCTGATTTATCATATAAGATTTTTACCAACTAGATTTGCTATCACTTTCAAATATCAGATAGATTTTGAACACTCAATCTTTTGTTACTACATTTGATATATAGATCAATGTTGTAAGTGTCATTTCTCCAAACTTACATATGTTAAAATTTAAGCATTGCCCACTAAGATAGGTGTTCGGCTTTAAGAATTTCATGTAGCATTTGAGTTCCTCATTGCAAAAGCACAAATTAAGAACACCTACTAAGGCTGCTCCATTTAGAAACGAGTTCAAATTAAGAAATTTCAACCATGCAAATGGTATTCTGAAATAATTTTTTAATTTTCGAAGGTGTCAGCTAGCTTAGTTAGCAAAAACTTTAATACTATATCACAAGTTCTGGATTCGAACCTTGCCTTCGTCACTTATGCTTAAAAACAAAAAAATTACTCTTTCTGTAAAGCTTGCAATATTATCTACCTTCCCAAGTTCAGTTAACAACTTGACAAGCTCAGCAAGTACAACGCGATCTAACATTTAGACCCATTTCAATATAGGCATAAGTATAATCGATTAATATATGCAAAAAAAAAACATCATGATGCAGGACATAAATCTCATAATATTTAAGCTCAGTGATTTCACAAAATAAATGCTAATTGAAAACATACCTTGATCCATCTATAGATACCAAAACCCCCTTGAAAATCAGATTACATGTTTTTTATTTCTCTCCCTACTCTCTCATACTTTGATGGGAGATGGAGCCCGCTTTGCGCTAACGATGAATGCGGAGGGGTTCGCATGAACATGAGGAATTTTCTATGACCATTTTAATTTTATGCTGAACTGCAGCACGCATGTACTTGCCTTATTACTAGGTCTGCATGTATAATATTGAAAGTTGCATCTCATCAACAGTCCAAGACGATCAAAACACATTACATTGACGGCTACTAACATTTAAAAGAAGGAAAGAAAAACTTCTAACAGCAAATATTAGTGAGAAAAGTGAAACTGTACTCTAAAACTTCTCTCAGGATACTTCATGGTAATACTTGTTAAGAAGCCTCTCAGAAAATTCTCCAAAAGTGAGAGTTCCATGAGGCAGGATCAACTGCATGTAAGGGACAATGGGGAACGAAAAGAATGAATAAATGCATGATATCATTTCACTAATTTGCTTTTTTTTTCCTTAAAACATACCTCTTGGTGATATGGAACCGCACCCGAAAACATAAGCTTCTCATCCCTAACAAAGGAAAAAAGATAGGACATCAAAAATAATTTTATAGTAATATACGAATGGCAGACTTCACTTCGTGAACAAAGGATCTTTATAAAACTAATGTAAGACTACATAACTCCTAATTAGAGAGTCAACACCCATGATAACCGAAAACTCGAAGAGAATGAAGTTTATTCTGGTCACTGAGTGCACACAGCATATATGCTATAAATATTATTAGAAAACTCCATGGAAAAATTATGAAGGGAAGTTGTTGCTTTTGCAGAACATGAGATATTAATCTCACAGAGAAACATATCTAGAACTCTCAAATAATGCACAATAACCATCTTAGACCTTCATATGAAACTCAATTAATGACTAAAACTATCAAACAGAAGATACATGCACAATCGATTCAGTCTATGCTAAGCAAAAATAGAGAAAGTTATATATATATATATATATATATATATAAGAGAGAGAGAGAGAGAGAGAGAGGAGAAGAAGAAAGGTCAATAAGAAACTAGTAACTCTGAAATTGAGCTAAGCCTTGCCTTTGAAAATATTATCTATGTGAGGACTAGGAAGTCATTTTCACACAGCACCAGCCCTGTGGAAACCAGTAAGAGAAATTTAAGATAAGATGGCTTAACTTATATGCCTATTGTGTTTGTTCAACAAATACAAAAAGCCCCTCTTTTAAGAGAATTTAAAATCACCTATGCATACAAGCTCCTTATTTCTTGAACAAGCATCATGGAATATCCATGGAGCCATTTCAAACTATCTTCAATAAGTATAAACATTCTATGAACATAAGCAACAGACTGGCCACATGCATCACAGATTATGCAAGCAAACGATCCAGATCACTGAGAGGCAGCAGATAGAAAAGTAGGTGGTATTTTCACAATCTCTTCATCCAAATAAAATATATATCTCACCACCTTACCTAAATCCACCATGTTAAATTCATTCCTTCAAGAAATACAATGGAAAAAAATCTTCTCATTATAACATTTCTTTGACTTCATATGAATAAAACATATAAAGCTAACTTACCAATCAGGTTGCATGAACAATGCAAAAGTTGAACGCTCCACTCCAGAAGCCTTTTCACTGTTAGGTGCCTATCAAATAAAACAAAGGGTATAAGATTGCAAACAAGGAATATGTTTGCCTCCATCTAAGAAAGACAAACAGATGGCTGTTCAGAAGAGTAGAAAATTTTTCTCTAAAACTGAATCAAGAAGTTAGTGCTGCAAATGTCGAGGCAAGACACGTAATTGTGGGCTATAGAGCATCTGTGCAGATTTAAAACAGTGATTTAAAATGGGCTATAGAGCATCTATACACGTAATTGTAAACGATAAAAACAGTGATTTAAAAAGTGCTAGGCGCCAAGGTCCAAAAATACCCGAGGCGCTAGGTGCTCGCCCGAGCGAAACGAGACGCTAAAATATAAAAATATAAAATATAATTAATAAATATAATTATTTAAATAAAAATATGATATTAAATTAAAAAATCTTATAAAATCACAATATCAAATTAACAAAAAAATCTTAAAATTCAAAACAATAACAATAATTTTAAATAAATAAAAATTAGCAATATTAAAATTAAAATAATATATTATTAATCTAATAAATAAAAAATATTGTTACTAGTATACAGTTAATAGTATACTATCGAGTCGATGTGAGAAGAGGTAGCAGCGAACAGCGAGAGCAGAAGCAGGAGAGGTGAGCGACGATAGTGATAACGACAGCGATAGGAGCGAGAAGCGAGGCAGCGGGAGCAGGAGCGACGCCCAACGACAATGGTAGCGATAGCGATAGCGACAAGCAATGACAGCGACAACGGGAGCGATGAGCGACGATAGTGGTAGCGGTAGCAGCGATCAGCTGCAGCAGAGTAGCAGCGAGCAGCGGCAGCGATAATAGCGAGCAGCGGGAGCAATAGTGACAAGCAAGATTAGGGTTGGGGAAGTCGCGAGAGGGATGTTGGGAGGCTGATATCGGTGCTTTAGTTGGTTCAATCAAACCAACTGAAGCACCGAAAACTGAACCAAACGTAAAACACTGGTTTGGTCACCTGGTTTAACCCGAGTGCTCGCCCGAAATGCCCAGCGCTGAATATTTAACAAACAGAAGTACAAAGACAGAGCTGAGTATTTAATACAGCACATCAAATATTATATATAGAGCAAAGAGCAATAGCATTGAAAAGAAAAAATTAATCAACTATTTATGGTTGGCTATATATATTTTTTCATACCATTGAGGTCTGTATAGGGCAAATAAATGAAATAACCTTTCAAAATGAGTGTTACACTAACATGTTGACATAGAACAATGGTATATAAATCTAAAAAACAAGATGCATTGATGCAGATAATAATATTGTAAGTTACATGATACAAAAAAAATCAATTAGCTAAGTATGACATTTCAATGATTGTAGTTTGCAGGATGGAAAATGGAAGAAAAAACAACAAAATAGCAGACTGATAATTTAGTTAACAGAGAAACTAATCTTTCTGCTTCTCAGAAAGAAAAAATCTATTATACATACACGTAATGTATACACACAAAGATAAAAGCTTTTCATATTTAATCAATTGCATAATAAATAAATATATTATGCTTCTTTCTAAAACACAAATTCACAAGCACCAGCTGATGATTGAAGCACCTGTACACAATGTGGAGTAGCACAGAGATAACCACCACCTAGTATTTCAGTGGTTTCACCAATTTGATATGCTATTTCATCTTCTCCGAATACAACCTAAAGCATAAAAAATTATAGCCTCAATAATCTACATAAAAAAATCATTGTTATGAGTACAGAAAATCTAGTCTCAAAACATGACTCTTCCATAGCCATCACAGAAGCCTAAATTCTAATCATTTGTAATGATCAATGTGAAACAATCATATGCTGATGCAAACACATGCATCTACATATTTCCAAAAATATAAATATGCACACAACATTTATGTATTGATGAATAATGCTTATACCCTGCTAGTAGAATATACAGCAACAAACAGTCAATTAACTTTGTAGTTAAAGCTTTTCTAGTTCAATCAAATGTCTTAAAGGTTAAAAATGGTTTTTATTGTATGGGATTACCAATAACCAGCCATTGCAGACTGGCACATAAATAAAAACATCTGTTGGCCATAGCTACCTATTTCAAACCATTTTAAAATTAGTCCCTGACTTTAGTGGGCTTCTTAACATCCTAGCCCTGGCCAATTTATGTCCAAAGCTATACACCCATAACACTGATATTGGTGCATAAAAATGGATGCAAATATACCATCAATTATGGTTATATGAAACATTGCCTGTGTACAGATTGCAGGAGCCAAAACTAAGTCCAGTTTGACTGAACAGAAATAAAATCCAAGCCAAAGTAGTGAAAAATTGAGTTTGCTTTTCATTTATGCATAAAGTTGGTACAAGATGATTGGTTCTCAAGAACACAGTGTTTTACTCAAAACTTACATATCAAAACCAAGGATTGTAATATCAATGTGCATGCAAACACCATGTATATCCATGCTGGAGAAGCAAATACATGGCTAGGTCACTTTTGGGATGTACCCGCTGATACAAGAGAGTACTGAATGGCACGATACAAATTGTGTCAGAAACATATTGCATGTTTCCACATGAATACCTTTGATTGAAATCAATGTTGTGGATGCCTCAACCATGCAGCATACATAGCAATGTTAGTCTCACTGACAATCAAACCTTGACCCAAGCAGGTTGAAGATATAGGTAAAAGCTATGACGGTAACTAACATAGACTACAGTCATTCGTAGACAATATCATGATTAGATAATGCACAATTTTCGGAGTGACTTCGGCATTCAGATCATAATCATCAACATAAATTATTTATTGGGTACTAGCTAATGTGAGATCATCTTATTTAATTATATTGTTGGTGTTTGTTGAGTTAAATATTTATTAATTAGTATTTTATTGCTTCTTTATTAGCAAAACAATCTCGACAACTGTTACTGAATCTTTCCTTCATCTATGACCACTTGGTTGAAACTCCAGCACCTACGGATCTATGTTTCTTAAGAAGTATTCAGATGCTATATATGGTGTGTGTGTGTGAGGTGCACTGAAGAAATTTATCTTCAATTTCCAGGTATGATTCTTACTTTTTGTTTCTCTACTCTCATCTAAAAATTCATAAATAAAATATCAACGAGTTACCCCAGAATAAAAATAAATGAGCATGAAGAGTCTCTTTAGTAATAAAATAGTCAATGAATAACTTGCAGTAATGTGGCATGATAACAAAAACAGAAACTTTTAATAGAACAGTGTAATGGTGTTATCATGCTTCATATTTGAAGAGTAAAGAAAACAAGAATTACTTTGACAATCTGATCATTTCTTGTTTTAACATAAAGGCCAGCAGCACTATCAGGAGAAGATATCTTGACACCATTTCTGGTAAACATGCCACAGGTAAGGCCTACAATGATGAATAATAGTTGTAAGATTTCAGAAATATAGAAAACATTCTTGAGCTTTTTATTTGACAAAATGTGTAAATTTATGCGAGCATACAAACCCATTGACAAACTTCAATTAAATAATAACGTGGAGAAAACAAAGCAGATGATAGGTGGCATTCAATGGCTTGAAGTAAAAACTACATTAGTATAATAGACAAATATTCTATTAGGCAACAAGGTTCTAAGATAAATTTCAGAAAATGTAATTTGATCATGCCCAGCTTATGGACAGGAGTATGCAAGTTAATAAGCTAATGGACAGAATAGTTATTATCTACTATTGTATCTGACAGATCATAAACCTAGCTAAATGGAGATGACAAATGAAAATTGATGGAATTTTACTGTACAATTTTACTTAATTTTACATAAATTAAGTAAGTATATAATGATGAGTATAAATTTGTAGCATAAATTAAGTATATAATGATGAGTTTTTTCTTCAGATAATTCTTCTAGTTAGGTATCTAGTCATTAATTTTCATTAGTCATCTCCATTCAGCTAGGTTTTAAAATTCCATCTGTACAGTAATATATTATATACTTAATTTATGCTACAGATAAGAGACATTTTATAGCAAAAAACATCTTTACAAATGCAGTTTCAACCTTATATGCCATCAATGAATGAACCAATGTCAGGATTCTAAATCTTCATTATGATGATTATGACAAAAAAAAATAAAAATTTGCTGGCTCAGTTCTCTCACCTGTGAGTGAACCATGGTCAGTATGCCATCCACACCATGATGATATGGAGTTATTATTATCTCCATGGTGACTGTAAGACAATAGGGAAAACCACAGTGACTACAAGAGCAGGGAAAAGTTCTCTATTTTCACTACATATTACCATAAGACACTTAACATTTAAAATCTTCAGAAATATTAATCCATGGTGTTATCTAGATTCGAGACTCTAGAGCAAAGTGAAGCTTAAATTTCAATGGTTTATAAACGTGTGAAGTGCATCTAAATTCACACAGGATCTGTAGATTCTATACGTGTACAATCAGTACATAAAACAAAAGGAACATAACCAGATGTACCAAATTCAAAGACAAAAAACAAGAAAGACCTATGATAAAGTAGTGAAGGTTTTCTTATAGCATAAATGGAATTTCAGTTAGAGTAACCATTACCTGAGTTCCTTAGGGAAGTAATATAACAAACGACCTTTATGGCACCTAGAATGCTTGAGTATCTGCTCAAGGCTTCCATTCTCATGGTCTTTCATCTCTCTGGATACTGATCATTGTATGAAAATAATTAGAACTACTATAAATATCAATTTTATTTAGATTCAATCAGCTACAACCCTTATATTTACATGACAGTGATCAGAATAATAAAGGATGTTATTGCTAATTGAGAGAAAAAAAATTAATGCCTGAATCAAGTAAATACATGTGAATACATCATTACCAACATGTTCTTGGTTGAAGAAACAGATGAGAACATGCAACATTCACAAAGAAAGCAAACACGTAGATATTTTTCTAACCTTTTCCGATGTTCACTGTGGTAGAACCTAAGTCAAGGAGACCAAGGACTTTCAGTTTCACACCCTTGTGCCCACATGCAATGCTACCCCAACCCTAATGTTCTAAGAACACAAGTTCCTGACTGGTACAAAAGCAAATATATATATATAAAAAGGAAGTTTGGTGCCCTTATACATAACACAATGACGAAAAAAGATCCATGTAACAGTTGGGACATTATGGACAAATTTGATACCCTTCTAGATGATATCCATGCAAAAAAGCAAATAGTCTTTGAGCAATATGCAAGAATATTTTAATTCAGAATCCTATATAAAAAGATCAATAAGACTGGGATCTAGGTCTATGTCCTGGTAATTGATCCTTTATGACAATTAAAGAATCTTTCAGGGTAGTAAGACAAACTTGTGATCTAAAGAAGCTCAATGTGATCCTAAATACAACAAAGGATCTCCACTTAATCAAGAATTAGTGATTTTTCTTTGCTTTCAGAAATGAGAACAAAAACTTGAAAAGAAGCCCAACTTTTCTCAGAAGAATGTTCAAATATAGTTTCTAAGAGAATATAACATGGGTCATTAAAAAATGACCAAGCATATGTAATCATCTATCTACTTTGAAATATGAATGGACTAATATACAAGCAGCTATTAAATTAAAAGAAACAGACGAATAGCATGAACTGATTACAGATTGGAAGACGTACTTATTCTGATTAAAAAGATCATTTCAAGAGAAAAGTGTTTAGAACATGAGGATCCCAAAAGGTTCTATTTTGCAATCAATCTCTTCCTCTCTACAGTGATTTCACTATTTTGTATCTGTTTTCCTCACTATATGGGTTGACACGGGAGTGCCTAATTTACTACGATCAGCTCATGTGAACCTTGCTGATGCTATGATATTCTCTACAGCCCAAAATATTGTCTCATAACTTTTAACTCAGCCCACTCAAATATGACAGCTCATGAGCATATTCCTTAAACAAATTTAAAATTGGTTCAATGTGCTTTCTTTCATGACCAAAGAATGTATTAAAAGAGTTAGTTACCAGCTATAAAACACTTAATTTCATAATTTCCTATGCATGAATGATTGTTTCATGCATTAATACTTATTTTGGTGTTTTAGGGTTAGAAAGAAGTTTAGAAACTGATGATATTGGCAGAAGCTCTCTTGGAGTTCTCTCTTAAACTCTGTATCTCTTGGATGCTTCCTTGAGTGATGAGTCTTTTGTTTTCAGTTCTATATTCTTGTTTATTATCCTTGGGGTGGTGAACTTTCTATATCCCTTTGTGATTTTAAACTTGATGGTGAGCTATTTTTTGATTTTATTAAAGTATTATCATGAGTTCGTTCCTTTTCTATCCCAAAAACTTATTCCGGCAAATACAACTATACTATTAGATTTCTTTCAAAATTCATTCTGCATTACCCCCCATATCATGGGCTAGTTGGTAAGTATGGTTATGAAGGTTGGATTTGGCTTAGATTTTAAACATGTTCCAACTTATTCAGTACTTACTGAGTGCATGTTTGATCTCACCTAAACATGACCAACTGCCAACCTTGGCATCAAATCAAAGAATTCTATATTATTTTGTACAAGAGATAATACCATGATTTTCAGGACAGCTATAAGTGTAATATATCTTAGTAATTTAGTATCACATTCGTAGCACTAGTTCATAAACAAGATAGCCCCAAAAGGGGTACCAATCCACAAGCAATGTAACTTTAAAGAATAAACTGAGATCAACTGAAAAAACATGAACAAGCTGAACATACCATATTGATCACAATGATATGCTAGCATCAGCCCAACCTCCATCATCAGCATTCCAAGAGCTTTAAAGGCTACAGTACAACAACAAATTGCTCTATTATGAACAACATCAGCTAAAATTAAGAAACCCAGTGCAATGTTTATAAAAAAATAATAATAAACTACAAGAAGCCAAATCCATATTACAAATCAAAGTTTTTAATTTTGGGTCCTGGACCCATACCGGTCCAGGAAGCTGCACTGAGTTTCGGAAAAGCTTGAAGAAGATTAAGAAATAAAAAAGAGTTTCTACCCAGTACAAGCCCTATACCGAGCGACACAAGCCCTTTACAAAGTGTTCCGGACTGTTAACGTTGATGTATGTGCCGATTGACTGTCAGACCAATATTGTTATTGGTCCAAAATAACACAACATAACAATAATAACAATATAACAATATAACTTCAAAATCATAAGTTGGGGAGTCAATGAAGAAAACAACACTGATGTGCAGTATTTGTTCGTAGCCATCTCTTGCAGCATATTAGTTAAAAATATAAGAAGCATGTCAAGGGCAACAAATGAGAAAATTTATACGAAATCAATGACACACATCTCAAGGGGAGAGAAACAAACAACACATCATATACCCACCTAGTCAATCATCAAGAGATAAACAAATAGAAAATCTCATAAAATGTGTCCACAATATATCACAGGAATATCCAACAAGTATCAAATTGTTTAACAATTACACTATAGATGATCTATTTTACAGTTCAGAGCATATTGCTACTTTGTGAAAATAAATTTTATCCATGTAGAAAGGTTGCACATGACTGGGGAAGAATGACTTGTAACTTTCAAATGTTTCAGTTGATGTCTTAAAATGCATAAGCATGAGCATGGAGTCACCAGCCTAATTCACACCTGGATGAAGATAAAAGGAAGGGCAAAGCAAACAACTAGTCTATGGCCAACTTAATTTGCACCCAAATGCTTCTTTGTGATGATTTCAGAGGCAGAAGAAAGTCCCTATTTGCTACAAAATCATACATAAAGTGACTTTGGCCCACAAGGGTAAATTTTCTTCCTAAACAACTTTATATTACTGCAGATTTTATGATTTAAAAGGCTTATTCATGTCCATATTTTCTGTATGTTCCCGAAACAAAGAAATTAGACATAACCATATCTTACTAGAAACTACAATCTGTAGAAAGAACATGTCCTTCAAAAACTGGCAGAGATAATTATGACTTCCATAAAGTTTTCAAGAACAAAGTGAATATTGCATACAGTGGAAGAGAATCCATAATCACATTAAAGAAATCAATCAAGTAAAATCAAAATAATTAAACAAGAGTCCTAATTATAATAGGACTTTCTTCAAATTCAGGCACAGTGAAGTGGTGCATACATACCTTCTTCAAGTTCAGGCAATGAAGTAGCTGGCCATTTATTTGGCCGACAATATGAAGGGTACCTACATAACAGGATTATAATCGTTTACTGATGCCACATTGGAGTAGTTGAATGTATGTGCATCTTTCAAGAGAAAAAATAATTCATGTAAAAAAACAGAGCTGCCCTAGTAGTGTAGAACATACAAGCATAATTCCTATATGTTATATGGAATTATCAAGCTAGACAATATTTCCTACAATGCATTTTCTTCTTTCCATAAACTTGTATGCCTATACAAAATAAGATATTTGAACTATGGCATCTCTAAGCAAAAAAAAAAAAACCTATTTCTTAATCTAGTTGGATACAGCAAGAGATAAATGAAAACAAAACTGGAAGATATTTATTTAAAAAATGGATAGTTATTAGTTTTGTAACTCATAATTAAGTCACTGAGCAGCAATTGGTTTTGGACACCAGCCATGACAATCCCTGGCCCAGCATTGGCACGAATCTGGTGCATTAGCAATTAGAAATCATAATCAAGGTTTACAATACAGTATGGATTTACTAGTCTTATAAGTTACACTGGCAGTATGCCTGGTACTGTGTCTGTACTAGGCTGTCACGGACTTAGCTGGTTTTGCCTAAGTCGTGCGGCACCTTTGCGTGTCCATCCGCAAAGGTCAGCCTCCCCAAAGCCTCCCACGGTCCCTTAGGACCCACAAAAGAGAGAACGGGTTAGAGAAAACGCCTCATTTGGGATCCACAAGCAAACATTCCAGGAAACACTTCATAGACAATGCAAATTACAAACAGACTTTACAAGCTCTGAACAGTTGCACAACAAAGGGTAAAATGGTCTATTATAGACCGAAAATCAATTACACGTGTCTTCATGACACAACCTTTATTTACAAGCCTAAAGCGGCCACCAACCTAACTAAAATGGGACTATTAAGCCTTCGGTCATCCCTCTACATGCTGTACAAAGCATGAACATACCAAAAGACACGGACATACATAAGCATTACATCAAACATCCTGGTTAGAAGTTTGTCCGTGACATTCTCCCCCACTCATTCTCCCCCACTTATTCCTTCGACGTCCTCGTCGAAGCCTTTGTCGACACTGCAACTCCTCACCTTTGTTGAGTCTTCAATCTTCTGCTCCAGCTGCAATGCGCCTCTTGGCTCCCAGCTGCTCTCCGCTGCTGTTTTTGAGTAGTCGAACCTTTAATCCGCCATGCTGCTTCAACTCGCCAATGACTCTGACTCTAGTGTGGGGTTGGCTGAGTTGTGTTAATCCCTGTTGGTTCCTGCGGATCCTCCAGATGAAGGAAAAGACCATCCTTACTGCGTCAGTCTCTCAAATGCCTCATGCTGCTTGAACTGGGTGGATGCTTGTTGGAGCTTTAACGAGCATCGTCTCGCAAACTTCTGAAGTTTTGGGTCTTTCCTCCACAAAATTTGCTCATTGACTCTTCTTTCACTTAGTTGTCACATCCAAGTAGGTTCGCATCACTTCCGCTTTCGATTGGCATTTCGTTGGGAAATGAAGCGAACAATCTCTCAGTAACACTGATCACCGTTGGTGAGGATTTGACAACTATTGTCTTCTATTATCTTCGAAGGGTCTTTGAACTTGTGCAGAGCTCCTCTACTGGATAGATAAGAGAATTGGGGTACTCGGTTTCACCCATTCTCTTAAGGGTTGAGAAGGCAAAGGTTACTTGACTTCGCCCGCCTCCTCGAGGTTGTACTCTATGCATCGAGCTGGTTACTGGCCTTCGCCGACTCTTTGCTCACACTTCTGAAGCACATGAAGTGTTTGCAGTCCTTGAGTTGAGTAAGTTACTGTGATTCACCTTCTCAATGCCATCGAACTTCTAGAATGCAGGAAGTTTTCACCCCAACTTGGAGTAATTCTCTCATAGGTTTGGTCGCCTCTGGGATTGTACCGTCTTCTCCATCAACCCTGCCGCCTACTCCACTGAGTAGCAAAGGTACAACACCGTGTACTGCCTACTTCGTTCCTTGGTCATGCACTCTTGCCTGACCCGAAGTCCTTTACTTTCGGCTATCATGATGAGAAGCTCGTTGACACCGGTCTTACGAAGTTCCTTGGCCTCTGCCCTTCAGCCTTGTCTCGGTACTTGGAGTTTACCTCTACATGCTCCACCTCCTCGGCCCCTTTCACGACCAAACGCTCACCCTCCATGAGAGCAAGGGATCAATGACTTTCACGGAAGTCCCGCCTCTACGGTACCATAGCGCTGCCATACCCATGGCCTTACTATCTGTCGCCTCGCATCTGCATCCCTTTTCTTCACAATCAGTAGATATGTCTCCGTGGCACTCCTCTGAGTCCACCTCCATTCTAACTGATGCTTGATTTTAGGTAGCTAAGTCCCTCTGGACTCGTCGTCGCTTCCTCGCCCCTTTCGACCCCTTGCTTCAACACCTCTGTGTTCTCCAAGCAACTCCCTTTTGGTCGATGGAAAGATAGACTGCAACTCTCATGCATGGCCTCTGCCATCGCATTATAGGGTTTGCACAGATTCTGTTCTCCTTAGCTTCCTTGGTAGCAACGTTCGCTTACTCGACCTTGTCCTCTGACTTGCCGGGCTCCCTTAAGCGAATATGAGCTCTGGAGCAGTCCAACTCTCCAGCTGCTTCGATCATACCTCTGTATGATCAAGTCCCTCCCATGGGACTCACTAGTACTTGCATTCGAACTTTTCCCTTGGTGGAACCCAGCCCCCATATGCTGATGACCAAGGTTTTCCTCCGATGCAAAATTCGATGCACGTACGGAAGACCCGCCTCTGCAGTACCATGGCCTTCACTCTTTGAATCCATAGCCCTTCTTACTGTCGTGTTGTTCATCGAAGTGGAGCTTCCAATAGCTCCCGATCATACCTCCGTATGATCTAGTCTTTCGCGGGACTATGTCGTGTGTATCGCATTGCCACGAATTGTTCCACCACGATCTGCTGCACCATGTCGTCTCCTGGTGACATCTCCATTGCATTCTGATCCTTGTGGGATGAACTCGAATTGTGATCCCTTCATGTGTGGCCTCTGCCAATACATCGCAGGGTCTCTTCCACCTTCGATTTTGTTCGCTCCTTTGGCAATCAACCGTCATCCGCCCACTCTTGGGTCACACCTAGATGAAGCACCGCTCTAGGACAGTCCGTCGCCTAGTAGCTCCCGAAGTCCACCGACTTCGCTATAATTAGTGCACCATTGTCTGGATCTTGGGCCTCTACCCCTACCAGCATAATCTCCGCTGCGCACCGCTTCCTTCATGGCAACTTGAATGGCAACACTGTGGCATATTCTTCAAGAGTACCCGCCTCTGAGTCCTCTTGCCCCGTGCTAAGGCCTTCTGAACCCAACTTCGCCTCCGCAAATTGAGTCGCCTTAGTTCCTCCATCAAATGCTCCTCCAAGATAAGGTGCATGTGCCTAGAAGCTCCATTCGTCTTTGGCACCATGCAAGATGAGTCCGCTCCATCAGAATGAATGACCCATGGAACAACATGATCCTACTCTTGCCTCTGCAAGAGTTCATGTCCTTGACCTCTGTCCAAGGAAAGCACTATGCCTCCGCTCCATGTTCCATCTTCTATACTAGCTCCCTTCATGCGGCTTGGGTACTTCGCCAAGTTACACCCAAGTTGCTCCGCTCCTCGTTTTTGCATTAAGTTGATGGTGGCCCTCACGCCCACCATTCCACGGGTCAACCCTCCCTTGAGTCTGATCTCCATATCGACTCTAAGTGTGCCTTCATTTGTGTTGCTTTGGGTCGCTCTCCCACTTGATCTCGCAATGCATCTACTAATGCATTCTCTCGAGCGAGATCATGCGACGACTCCTCGCTGCTTGCTCAGTCCATTGAGCTTCGTGGAGTTGTTGTTTATTGAGGTACTCCTCCTCAACTTATGAGGTCCGTCCAACATGATTCTCCCTCTGGAGAGCCGAGACTTATCCCTCTTGGATAACTGTCCGGTTGGAGCAACATCTCTCTTCGTTTCGAAGACCACCATCCCCTTGGACTACTCCGATCTGCTGAACAAACTGTGCATTATTCTGCCTCCTGCAAATGCATTTGCTAGATTGCGACTCCACGTCAATACAGCTCCCGCTGCACTACTCAAGGCCTAGCAACATGCTGAACTCGTTGCACACTTCAGCCTCCTACGGATGTATCCTTCACATGCCGAAGAGAAAGTTTCAATGCTCCATGACGCCGAGTTTCGGTCGCCTTGGGATGGCCACGAACATTCTATCGTCCGCATACAAGCCCATGCATGAGTACCAAATTCTTCGAGCTAGCAATTCCCCTCACCTCTGTGAGCTTTGCATAACTCTTTTGGTCGTTAAGCAACACATTCCACCTTGCATGGTCTCATCCTTTACCAAGCGCCTCGCTTGCCTTGAGCACCATCAAGTATAGTTGTCAACGTTGAGCCATAGCTCAAACTCAGCTATCCCAACCTTTGTGTGCTCCGCATTCTTCCAAGCTTGCCTGTTCTCGTGATGCCTCTTGCGCGAAGGGTTGGTCATTCCTCTAAATGCCAATGTCAGATGCCCGCTCCTCCGAGCGACTCCTTTTCCCTACATATCCATGCCTGTTTTCCTCCCAAACGGTTGCGCGTGTGCTAACTGCCCTCAACGCAGCCCCGCTAGTTCCCCTACATTTGCATGCTAAGTGTTTCTATGAGTGCTTATCCCGTTCTGATACCATCTGTCACGGACTTAGCTGGTTTTGCCTAAGTCGTGCGGCACCCTTGCGTGTCCGTCCGCAAAGGTCAGCCTCCCCAAAGCCTCCCACGGTCCGACCCACAAAAGAGAGAACGGGTTAGAGAAAACACCTCATTTGGGATCCACAAGCAAACATTCCAGGAAACACTTCATAGACAATGCAAATTACAAACAGACTTTACAAGCTCTGAACAATTGCACAACAAAGGGTAAAATGGTCCATTATAGACCGAAAATCTCTCACACGTGTCCTAATGACACAACCTTTATTTACAAGCCTAAAGCGGCCACCAACCTAACTAAAATGG